GTCAGAGAGGTGGCAGCTCCACACTGAGAGGAGGCCGGAGCTGGGCTGCCCATTCCTCCGGGGTTCCCTGAAGGGGGTGGGCCCCAGGACTGGGCTGCCTGGCCCCCCAGGAAGTTGCTCGGAGGAGGGAGCCAAGTTGGGCTGCCAGACCCTGGGGCTGGGCTTCCCAGCTCCCTCAAGCGGTGGGCGAGGGGAGGAGCTGGGACTCACCGGCAGCTCCTGGGGTAAGGGGGCCCGGGCTACTGCAGCCTCCCCCAAAGAGTCCTGCATGGTCCCAGCCACATAGCACCCCAGACCCTGGCCTGGCCTTTCCCCTGTGCTCAGGCTAAGGCCGGGGTGGGTGACTTGCAGCCTAGGACCCCAGGCAGCTGGGGCCACGTCTCCTGCCTTTAGCAGCTCTGGGGCTGGGGTTGGCGGGCTTGTGGCCCCAGTGAGGGGGCTCCATCTCCAGTAGAGGCAGAGCCTCAGACAGAAGGGGTGTGTTCAAAACCTCTGCCCTTTGGGATGGCTCGGGGTTGGGCACCATACAGGCATGAAAGGGTAGAAGTGTGGCCCAATGGGCAGAGCATTGGTCTAGCACTCAGCAGACTTGGGCTCTATTCCCTGCTCTGCTAGTGGCCTTCTGGATGACCATGGCCAAGTCACTTCCCTGCCCCATGCCTCAGCTTTTCCATCTGTAAATTGGGGGTAATGAAGTCTGCACATTAGTCTGCGTGTTTGTTTATTGCTACACTGGTTCTATTTATTCCCAAGTCAGTGTGTAGCTCAAATATTCCTTTTCTGTGATTTCCCTTCCAGGGCCTGCTTGGACAAAAGGTAAGTAGGAAGTGGAGAGTTCTCTTCTGTGATCTGATCTGACTACAGCCTGTCTCTGAGCATATCCCCCCAGCACAGCTCCCCCTCTGCCCCCTCCCCCGGCTCAGTGCACACACGGGGGGAGAGGCGGGAGAAGAGACTGTTATGTCTGATCTGCAGCCGGGTAGCAGGCGCAGGGAAAGCTGGAGCTGCTTTTTCCTAACACTCGTGCTGGTTTGTGCTCACAGTCTACCTGGCCCTGGGCAGCCTTTGCCCTTAGAGGCCCATGTGTGGCGAGTGGCAGCAGAGGACAAACTCTGGCTGCTGAAGCCCCTAAAGCCTAATCCAGCTCCAGACTCCAGCTGCACAAATCTCTCAGTCTGCACTAGTCTCGCTGGTGTTGGCGGTGGGGGCAGGTCTGGTGTTCCCTGTAAGGTGTGCGCTTGGGCAGCCACCCAACAGGGAGTCAAGTGCTGCCCAGCAGATTAGCAGAGCGCCCACAGCCAGTGTCCTGTGTGTCTATTGGTGGTGCACATCTACACCTGCCTTGGTGCGTAAAACAACGTTTATTCTGCACATGGATGGAAAAAATTAGAGGGACCATTGGCTGAGACGTGTCCCACGGGGTCTTGGGAGCTGAAAAGGCCGATCCTCAGAAACGCTGCCTAAGGTGCTGTGGTGCCCAGTTTCCTCGGTAACAGGTTCTGTGTTGGGCTCCTGGGGGAAGGGCCAGGATCTCGCTGCACTGCCGCAGCCTGGACATGGCAGGAGGCTGGGAAGGTTTGAGGTGGGGTCAGGGCCCTTCTGAGGGGGCTGCACTCCTCCTCCTCCTCCTCGCCTGCAGTATGGGGGCTGGGCCTCAGAAAGCAGCCACCTGGCAGGTGCTACCCTCTCCAGGCATGCAAAGGGGGCACACGGAGCCCAGCCTGCATGACCCCAGCCTTTCCCAGCTGTGTGGGGAGTTTGGCAGAGCCCACGAGCCTGCAGGGGTGGGTGGGGCCTGTTCTGCGCTAGGCTTCGATGTTGCCTTCCCACCCATGTTCCTTACAGGCCCCCCTCCCCCGTGTCGCCCCTAGTCCCTGCAGCTCCCCCCAAACCTGCCTTCGCCCAGAGAGTGCTTTGGGGGCATTTTGTCC